TATGTACCCAAGGATGGGACTAACACCAGTCAATGACACCCAGGTACCTACTTATTACTAGGTAAACAGGGACAGCAGGACTAAGGAAACGTGCCCAACGTTTCCACCCATGCCATGTTATGAATGAGAAGAAACTGGATCTCCTGGCTTTAAGTGAAACAAAGCTGAAGGGGGTGGGAGAGTTTCAATGGAGAGGAATAAATGGGATTAGGTCAGGGGTTTCAAATAGAGTTAGAGCTAAAGAAGGAGTAGCAATAATGTTGAAGGATAAGCTATGGCAGGAAAAGAGGGACTACAAATGCATAAATTCAAGGATTATGTGGAGTAAAATAAAGATTGGATGTGAAAAGTGGGTTATAGTAAGCGTGTATGCACCTGGAGAAGAAAGAAGTGTAGAGGAGAGAGAGAGATTCTGGGAAATGTTGAGTGAATGCGTGGGGAGTTTTGAATCAAGTGTGAGAGTAATGGTGGTTGGGGATTTCAATGCTAAAGTGGGTAAAAATGTTATGGAGGGAGTAGTAGGTAAATTTGGGGTGCCAGGGGTAAATGTAAATGGGGCCTTTAATTGAGCTATGTGTAGAAAGAAATTTGGTAATAAGTAATACATATTTTATGAAAAAGAGGATAAATAAATATACAAGGTATGATGTAGCACGTAATGAAAGTAGTTTGTTAGATTATGTATTGGTGGATAAAAGGTTGATGGGTAGGCTCCAGGATGTACATGTTTATAGAGGGGCAACTGATATGTCAGATCATTATTTAGTTGTAGCTACAGTTAGAGTAAGAGGTAGATGGGAAAAGAGGAAGGTGGCAACAACAAGTAAGAGGGAGGTGAAAGTGTATAAACTAAGGGAGGAGGAAGTTCAGGCGAGATATAAGCGACTATTGGCAGAAAGGTGGGCTAGTGCAAAGATGAGTAGTGGGGGGGTTGAAGAGGGTTGGAATAGTTTTAAAAATGCAGTATTAGAATGTGGGGCAGAAGTTTGTGGTTATAGGAGGGTGGGGGCAGGAGGAAAGAGGAGTGATTGGTGGAATGATGAAGTAAAGGGTGTGATAAGAGAAAAAGGTAGTTTACGAGAGGTTTTTACAAAGCAGAAGTGTTATAAGAAGAGCAGAGTATATGGAGAGTAAAAGAAGGTGAAGAGAGTGGTGAGAGAGTGCAAAAGGAGAGCAGATGAAAGAGTGGGAGAGGCACTGTCAAGAAATTTTAATGAAAATAAGAAAAAATTTTGGAGTGAGTTAAACAAGTTAAGAAAGCCTAGGGAAAGTATGGATTTGTCCATTAAAAACAGAGTAGGGAGTTTAGTAGATGGGGAGAGGGAGGTATTAGGTAGATGGCGAGAATATTTTGAGGAACTTTTAATGTTGAGGAAGAAAGGGAGGCGGTAATTTCATGCACTGGCCAGGGAGGTATACCATCTTTTAGGAGTGAAGAAGAGCGAAATGTAAGTGGTGTGAGGTACGTGAGGCATTACGTAGAATGAAAGGGGGTAAAGCAGCTGGAACTGATGGGATCATGACAAAATGTTAAAAGCAGGGGGGGATATAGTGTTGGAGTGGTTGGTACTTTTGTTTAATAAATGTATGAAAGAGGGGAAGGTACCTAGGGATTGGCGGAGAGCATGTATAGTCCCTTTATATAAAGGGAAAGGGGACAAGAGAGATTGTAAAAATTATAGAGGAACAAGTTTACTGAGTATACCAGGAAAAGGGAAAGGGGACAAAAGAGATTGTAAAAATTATAGAGGAATAAGTTTACTGAGTATACCAGGAAAAGTATACGGTAGAGTTATAATTGAAAGAATTAGAGGTAAGACAGAATGCAGAATTGCGGATGAGCAAGGAGGCTTCAGAGTGGGTAGGGGATGTGTAGATCAAGTGTTTACATTGAAGCATATATGTGAACAGTATTTAAATAAAGGTAGGGAAGTTTTTATTGCATTTATGGATTTAGAAAAGGCATATGATAGAGTGGATAGAGGAGCAATGTGGCAGATGTTGCAAGTTTATGGAATAGGTGGTAAGTTACTAAATGCTGTAAAGAGCTTTTATGAGGATAGTGAGGCTCAGGTTAGGGTGTGTAGAAGAGAGGGAGAATACTTCCCGGTAAAAGTAGGTCTTAGACAGGGATGTGTAATGTCACCATGGTTGTTTAATATATTTATAGATGGGGTTGTAAAAGTAAATGCTAGGGTGTTCGGGAGAGGGGTGGGATTAAATTATGGGGAATCAAATTCAAAATGGGAATTGACACAGTTACTTTTTGCAGATGATACTGTGCTTATGGGAGATTCTAAAGAAAAATTGCAACGGTTAGTGGATGAGTTTGAGAATGTGTGTAAAGGTAGAAAGTTGAAAGTGAACATAGAAAAGAGTAAGGTGATGAGGGTGTCAAATGATTTAGATAAAGAAAAATTGGATATCAAATTGGGGAGGAGGAGTATGGAAGAAGTGAATGTTTTCAGATACTTGGGAGTTGACGTGTCGGCGGATGGATTTATGAAGGATGAGGTTAATCATAGAATTGATGAGGGAAAAAAGGTGAGTGGTGCGTTGAGGTACATGTGGAGTCAAAAAACGTTATCTATGGAGGCAAAGAAGGGAATGTATGAAAGTATAGTAGTACCAACACTCTTATATGGATGTGAAGCTTGGGTGGTAAATGCAGCAGCGAGGAGACGGTTGGAGGCAGTGGAGATGTCCTGTCTAAGGGCAATGTGTGGTGTAAATATTATGCAGAAAATTCGGAGTGTGGAAATTAGGAGAAGGTGTGGAGTTAATAAAAGCATTAGTCAGAGGGCAGAAGAGGGGTTGTTGAGGTGGTTTGGTCATTTAGAGAGAATGGATCAAAGTAGAATGACATGGAAAGCATATAAATCTATAGGGGAAGGAAAGAGGGGTAGGGGTTGTCCTCGAAAGGGTTGGAAAGAGGGGGTAAAGGAGGTTTTGTGCGCGAGGGGCTTGGACTTCCAGCAAGCGTGCATGAGCGTGTTAGATAGGAGTGAATGGAGATGAATGATACTTGGGACCTGACGATCTGTTGGAGTGTGAGCAGGGTAATATTTAGTGAAGGGATTCAGGGAAACCGGTTATTTTCATATAGTCGGACTTGAGTCCTGGAAATGGGAAGTACAATGCCTGCACTTTAAAGGAGGGGTTTGGGATATTGGCAGTTTGGAGGGATATGTTGTGTATCTTTATACGTATATGCTTCTAAGCTGTTGTATTCTGAGCACCTCTGCAAAAGCAGTGATAATGTGTGAGTGTGGTGAAAGTGTTGAATGATGATGAAAGTATTTTCTTTTTGGGGATTTTCTTTCTTTTTTTTGGGTCACCCTGCCTCGGTGGGAGACGACCGACTTGTTGAAAAAAAAAAAAAAAATTAAAAAGATGTATAGAAATAACATGTGGCAAGAGGAAAGGAAGGTGCTATCAATACAAAACAGACATTTTTAGCTGAGCCATGATAAGTGAAGTATTAAATTTTGTCCATTTTTTTATCATATACTATTTACAGTAGGGCCCCACTTTACAGCGTTTCGCCTTATGGTGTTCTGCTAATATGGCGATTTCAAATTATGACCAAAATTTGCTATACGGCAACCGGTCTTTCAAATACAGTGTGCCCCACCCGGTTTGTTTACATTCTCCGTGAGCACATCTATTATGTCTGGAACTTTCCAAAATTTCAAGAGTTTTAAAGTTACTGCGTATTTTATATGTACTGATAATTATACTTATGTGTACTTGTACCTAAATATACTTATACACTGTGCTGGTATGCAGGTACACATTAAAATCACTAAGAGTCTCTCTACTCGTGATGCCATAGTAATACTATGTAACAATAATCTCTCCTGGGCACATTAAATGTTTCATTTTACGTTAATATAGACATTTTCGTTAATTCATCCATATTTTCTTCAAAATTATATAAGAAACACGTTACATAGCACATAAACATTATATATACACCCACAGAATAAAAATTGACAAATATGAGATCTGTTTACAAAGCAACTTTGTAGGAGTGTCAGAAGAATTACGTTTTCTCTAGTCAAACACTGGAGGATAACTGTAGATAAATATTGCTTTCGTATGCCTTCACCCTATATATAGCAATTCATGACCCTTGTGGGTTTAGTGCTTCTTTTTTATTATGATTATAATAATTTGTAATAATAACAATAATAATAATTTGTCAGAGCTTCATTCCTTCTAAAAATTACATGAGAATGGACATGTTGGTCTTTATTTATTCTACTGTACCACTATGGAGACAACTTGTACACAATGTAAAGTGTTTGTATGAATGTTTATGAACCATAACCAGATGCTTCATCTGTTTGTTTACATAGTGGGTGGGGTAGCCAGGCTGGCTTCCCTACACTACCTTACCTACCACAAGACTTTCTACAAATACTTTTCACCTTTCACCCTACATTAAGACTACAAATCGTGGCCAGGAGGGCTACCACACCTGACTTCTTACAGTAAATACTGCTCACCTTTTGCCCTACATTAAGACTACAAATATTTTGAGGTGAATAGTAATGAGTGTACTGTGTGTATTTTACTTTTTATTTTTTTTAATGCCTAGTTCTATTGTTAACTTAATATATGTTAGTGTAAACTTGTTATCTGACATTTATATGCATTTATAAGTGGAAAAAACGGCGTTCTGCTTTCCAGCAGTAGCCCGGAACCTAACCTGCCATACTTCATTTTTGTATGTATGCAAAGTGAGCTCATCTACTTTACCCTGAAAACCTATCATGGGATATTAAATATTACAGACAAAAAAAGTAATGATAATTATGTATACCATGACACAATCCAAAAGAGGCTGCCTGATACACATTTTTTTTTTTTTGGGGGGGGGGGGGGATGTGTCTGAAGCATTCACTCACTCCCCAGTAATGTACAGTAATGTAATTTCAAACAATTATTAAAGCCCTAGCTTATCAAGGTTATTTGTTAAGTCTGAGTACACTTACTTTCCAAACTTAACACTTTTTGCTAATGGCACAGCAGAATAATAATATTTCTTGTAATCATCCATCCAAACTTCTGCTGCTCTTCGAGTATTTCGAGCAAACACATTTCCAGACCCTCCTGGGAAGGTATATGGATGCTGCTTACGGAAAACATGTCCCACTCGGGAGCATGGGACAATTTCTAGACTTCCCCCACACTGCCACACTCGGAAAGATATTTCTGAAAATAATGATAGTGATGTATAAAATATATGGCAAAACTGTAATTAAAAATATGTAGAGAACTGTACATACAGCATAATAGGTAAGTTCATAATAAATATGCTTAATGTACTGTAGTAGGATTAGAAGTGTGAGTAAGGTAACTTATGTGAAGGGATTTAGGGAAAACTGGTTAGCCAGACTTGACTCCTGGAGGTGGAACGGGCAGTGCCTGCACTCTGGAGGAGGGATGGGGATGCTGCAGTTGGAGGGTAATCTGATTGTGATGTCAGCACACTTTTAGAAAGAAGGCAATTGAATGAATGATGGTGAATATGTTTTCTTCCTTGAGTCACCCTGCCTTGGTGGGAATTAAAAAATGTGAGTAAATCCCAAGCAAAAAATAATAAAGAAAACACACTGAAGCATATACAAATGGCATCATAAATATGCATGTGCATACTCAGGAATACTAAGGAACTGGAGCACAAGTCTAATTTCTTAGATTGAGAGCCCCTCACCAGCATCAAGGAACCTCCCTTCAGGGGACTACAGGTGCTCCTCAACTTACGATGGTTCGACTTATGATGCTTCGACCTTACAATGGTGCAAAAGCAATTACTTTGGAGTTGAAGGCATGAAGGCAGAAAGTTTGTACCTTGTATTCATTTATTTACTTTTCAATGCTGGTATTAAGTTACTTACAGTAATTATTTGTGACAGCAGTTATTTATTTATTCATCTATCACATCATATTCACCTTATGATATTTTCGACTTGCTTTGGGTTTGTTGGAATGTAACCCCACCGAGGAGCACTTATACTTCGATCAGCATCACTCATTTCTGGCTTCTTGAGCCTTATTGTATCTATTCTTGAAGCTGTGTACTGAGTTGGCCTCAACCACTTCCTTACCCAAGTCATACTACTTTTCAACCACCCTCAGACTAAAGGTACAATTCCTTACATCCCTATGACTCATCTGTGCCTTCAGTTTCCACCAGTGCCCCTTGATTGTGGTTCTCTCAATTCAAACCTTCTTGTCACTATTTTCCCTATTAATCTCTCTTATGATTTTGTATGCCTTAATTGTATGTCCCTTTGTCTCTCTCTCTCTCTCTTGTCAAGTTTGTCAGGTTCAGTTCCATCCTTTCATCATAGTGCATTCTTCTTAGTACTCACCTACTTAGTACTCACCTAGATGTGGGCTCTATGCTAGGGCTGTAAACTCAATGATTGCCTTGACATACATCATATACAAGGTTCTGAAGAACAAAAAGGCATAATACCGTGACTGGAACAACACACAAATAACCTGCACATAGGAGAGAGGAGCTTAAGATGACATTTTGGTCCAACTTGGACTATTTACAAGGTCACACTGTGTGACTTTGTAAATGGTTGTGAGCTCCTCTCTCCTATGTGTGGGTTATTTGTGTATTATTCTGAAGGATTCTTCATTCAAGTTCCTAAATGCTGACATGATAAGGTTTATGTACTCACCTATTTGTACTCATTCATTCTGTGGTTGTAGGTACTGAGTCTCAACTCCTGGCTCTGCATCTCAACTTACTTGTCAAATTCATTCTCTCCTTTTAGCCCCATGGATCCTATCATCCTGACCTCTTTGAGACTGAAGAACAATGACAGTGAGTATTTTGTATGTTGTTATCATGTCTTTCTTGATTCTTCTGTCCTCCAATGTTATTAGATTAAATTCTGTTAGCCTATCCTCATAGCTCATACCCCTTAGCACTGGAACAAGCCTTGCTGTATACAGTGAAACCTCAAATTTCAAACGTATCGCTTATCGAACTCCTTGAAAATAGAACCCTTTTTTCAAACCAACTTTGTCCCTATTATCGAACTCGCCCCTATTTTTGAACCGCTGGGTACCGGACCTGTCTGGCAGCCTGCTCTGTCCACGTCCCCACGCAGGCGCCGTGAGCCAATCTGGTTTTGTTAATGCTTGAGTGAACACTAATCTGCGCTGTCATTAAAACATGATTATTTCATTATGTTTGGTGCTTGTGGGACTGTGAAATAAGCTACAATGGGTCCAAAGAAACTTGCTAGTGGTATCCCTGTGGTAAAGAAAGTGAGAAACACCATAGATGTGAAGAAGGAAATAATACAGAAGTGGAATGATGTACAAATGTTTGTGGAGAAGTACCACCCTGAGCAAGCTGAAACAAGCCATCTTTGCAACAAGTTCAGTGACAGAACCATGTCCCAATTTAGGGAAATCTTAAAGAGGCACCAGAAACAGAGGACTGTGGACAGTTATTTTGTGAGACAGGGGTCTAGTGACTCTCAAGCTGGTCCTAGTGGCATTAAAAGACAGAGAAGGGAAGTAACCCCAGGGAGGGCTTTGATACCTGAAATCCTCATGGAGGGGGATTCTCTTTGCAAACACTAACCCCAACTCCCTCTCTCCTCCTCCCTATCTTCCAGATGCCATCACCCATCTTTAATAAAGGTAAGTAATATGTTATTTTATGTTTATTTAAATCTAATAATACATAATTGAACACTATATTTGTTGTGTGTATGCAAAACTATAATTAATCTCTGTAAAATGTATTTTTTATGAATATTTTTGGGTTTCTGGAATGGATTAATTGTACTTCCATTATTTCTTATGGGAAATATTGCTTCGCTTTTCAGACTTTTCAAATTTAGAACTAACTCCTGGAACGGATTAAGTTCGATATTTGAGGTTCCACTGTACTTCTACACTTTCTCCAGTTCAGTGTTTCACATCTATACACAAGTAACCCAACAGTAACACAACATCCCCAACATCAGGACTACATTTGTTCTCGTCCAGTTATGTTTATATGTCACTGTATGAATATGTATGTACAGGAGGGCCCCCGTTTTACAGCGTTTCACTAATACAGAAGTTTTCAATTATACCCATTTTTCATTTATTCAGACTCCCTACAATACAGGGTGTCCATAAAAACACTCCCTGATTTCAAACAGGTATAACATGTAACTTTACTGTAATAATCTTTCACGGTTAGTCTGGTGACTTGGCAGGCCATGTGCAGAGGTCACCGGACCTATCTGCTTGTGACTTCTTTCTTTGGGGGTACGTGAAGAGCACAGTTTACGTACCACCGCTAACTGCAACCCTGGAGGAGCTGAAAATTTTGATCACTGAAGCAGTTCGCATGATAACTCCAGATATGCTGCAGAGCATCTGGACCAAATTGGATTATTGCATCGATGTTTGCCAAGCAACCAGAGAGGTGCACATTGAGTGCCTTTAATGCTACCTTATACCACATGAAACTAAATGAAATCCTGCATCTGAAGCTACTAACTGTGTAAGATTATTACAATAAAGTTACATGTTATACCTGTTTGAAATCAGGGAGTGTTTTTGTGGACACCCTGTATATTCACCACTCACTATAGGCTATGGATGATTTTTTTTTTTTCAACAAACTGGCTATATCCCACCAAGGCAGGGTGGCCCAAAAAGAAAAATGTAAGTTTCTCATTTTACATTTAGCATTTTATACAGGAGAAAGGGTTACTAGCCCCTTGCTCCCAGCATTTTAGTCGCCTCTTACAACACGCATAGTTTATGGAGGAAGAATTCTGTTCCACTTCCCCATGGAGAAGGATGAAAATATTTTAAGGTAAATAATGTGTACTGTATATGCATTTTTTAGTCCAAGCTATATTGCTCACCTAATATATGATAGTGCAAACATGTTATCAGACTGTTATAAGCATTTAAAAGTGAAAAATGGCTATGATTCCCTTTACAGCGATTTTTGCTTTACAGTAGTAACCCAGAACCTAACCTGCTATGTAAGTGAGGCCCTCCTGTATGTATGTATACTTGTATATGTGCATATCTGTATGTATATTCCTCATCTACATCACTGGCTTCCCCATTTCCTCATAGAACTTACACCAATTATGTTTGCATATGAGAACTTTTTCTTCTTCTGAAGGAGGGGTGTTAATGTTGCAGTTTAAAAACTGTAGTGTAAAGCAACCTTCTGGCAAGACAGTGATGGAGTGAATGATGGTGAAAGTTTTTCTTTTTCGGGCTACCTTGCCTTGGTGGGAATCGGCCAGTGTGTTAATAATAAAAAAAAAATGAAAACTTTTGTCAACACAAATCTGTTTGCCTCTAATAGCTTTATAAATGATGAGCTCATAAAGACATTTACTTGGATGATGATAAGCTCACACAATACTGACAAGACCTTGTACATAATGTTTAAGAACAAAACTAAAAATATTCAGCTGAACATAAAGATAAACAATACATGCAATGAAAGATAAGAAAGGGGAAGGGGGTAAATTCCTAGCTATACACCTTGATAGCAAACTAAAATTTAACACCCACTTTCAGCATATTTCTAAGAAAATGATATATTTAATAATAATAATAACAAAAATAGTAATTAAAAATAATAACTAAGTATGTACTTCTCTAATATTTTAATGTGAACATAAATCCATAGCATATTAAAATTTGCTCTATGCTTATTTACCTGTTTATTGATTACCATTAATTATAACATGTAAATATAATTTTATTTTGGATTAAAACATGTTTAAATAATTTTCTGAGAAATGGGTGGGGCTCAAACTCAATTTCTAGCACATGATAATCCTTCAGTAATCACTTCAACTTAAAGAGTACATTAATATTTAAAACTGACTCAAGTAATGTCTACAGGAGCCCTTAGCTGTTGCATTAATTTCAAGTAATTTTATTTTTTATAGTTAATGCTTACACCAGCAATAGTCTGTGTCATCAGACAGAGTTCCAGGGTCTCTAGTGGAATAAGAACTATGTCTGAGTACACATACTGCTGTTGGTACTAGATTGGCCATAAAAAAAATGGTTAAAGAAACAGCTGGGGTACCTGCAGCCATTACTGCAACCATCCTGGTCAAGTGGTTAGAGTGCAGGATGTGCTCATGCTATATATGTTCAAATCACACCCAATAATGAACAAATTTACAATTATTTATTATGATTTTTCTGAAGCAATGTTTAAATAAGCTATACCAGCCATGAACAATAACACACAAAAACAGTATGTAGCTTATATCTTGTTATTTTCACAATGGTGTATGATGATACTGATCACAATAAAATATACTGCAGGATTGTATGTAAGGTAGTAGAGCTTGAGCAATATCTGTATTTATATCCTTCCAGCATTAGCTAATATTATTTAGTGTGACAGATTAAACAATTACAAACCCATATTTTAGACTACACAGATATTTTTCACAGCCAAACAACTGACAAAAAAGAAAAGGGTTGCAGGAAGCTATGGTTCATCTTAATCTGCTATACAAGAGTAAAATAAAATTAATAACAAAAAATAAGATGCCAAAGAATAAAGGATAATTTTATTAATATTTAGAATACAGGATGGGTTAGGATGTTGCAGTTTGGAGGGCTATCTGAACTGTGCTACTGTACTTCTGACAAGACAATGACTGAATGAGTGACAGTGAACGTGTTTCCTCTTTTTGATCACCCTGCCTTGGTGGGAGACAGCTGGTGTGTTAAAAAATAAAATAGAACAGGAGTGAAGAGAGTGAGAAAAGGTTGCTAAAATGTGGTCTAACTAGAGCTGAGTGTATTCTTGTCATCAGTAACTGTATTTAGAATACAGTTACTGATGACAAGAATATGGTCTATCTAGCTATAGAAAAAAGTTGGTTGGCAAAAATAACTAGAATAGTATTTTAGACAGTTACAAGCCTGCAAGAAAACTCAAGAAATAAGAGGATCTATATGACATTAAGATAATGTAATAACTTTAGAGAACTTTAACATTCAACTAAAATCATCAATATTCACAGATGTTATTTAAATCACATACCTAAATTTTCTCCACCCCAAATGTCCATAGCCATATCATATTTCCCAAGCTCTTCAAAATATGATTTATCTATCATAAATAATCCACCGGCAATCATTGGAGTTCTGAAAAACATTAAAGCATTAATCTAAATCAAGGCTAGGATGTTCATTTACTGTGCTAGGCTCAATGGTGAATTGCAATATTCATTAAAATCCACAACTTTTTTAAACCCAGAATATCACCATGTTAAAACAAACTGAAATTCCCACTCATGAATGTAACAATATGAGAAAGGAAGAATCATACAAGACTATGTGAAACCCAAAAGATGTGAGGCAAGCATGCAACTAATACATCAGCATTAAAAGAACCCTAACAAGAAAATATAAGAAGTCTTATAATTGTGACAAATCCCACAGTTGCCCTAGATCACTTTTATATACATAACTGCTAATGCCAACTCTTTGTTACATTCACATGTGTATAATTTCAATTTGCATTGAAAGAAACATTGGGCCTTGATCAAATGTTACCTTGCTACAGAGTTGGTATTGCTAATTTTGCAAAATGTGATTTAGGGCAACAGCATGGCATACCACATTTACTGGAATAAATTCTCATTATTGTTGTTTTAAAGCTGATTTAACCCTTAAACAGTCCAAAGAGATTGACGTTCAAATTCGTAGTGCTACAAAAGTAGATCTACTTTTTTTTACCTATTTTCAAATATAACAAAAAAAAATGTAGATAAAAGTTTTTTTACACGTTTTCAAATGCAAAACAAAAAAGAAGATCTACATTTTTTTACATACTTTCAGATGTTGAAAAAACGTATATATACGTTTGGACCATTTAAGGGTTAAAATTGAGTACTTCAAGATTGGAACGTTCCTTCCTCATATTATCAATACTGTATGTTGAATTTACTTTATGACTTGTGTTGGGTCTTTTTGTCGTTTCTTCTTTTCTTCACTAGCGAGGTATTCCCACTTGAAAACTAAATTCCAATCAAAGCCTCCTCTTAGGTCAGCTGATGCACCAATATACTGGAAGGTGTCCATACTGATGACATCTATTATTGGGCAGACAACTCTTGTTTTTTCCTGTGGAAAAATAGTGTTTTTTGCAAAATACATTAATTAAGAAATTACTGTATACAGAATTCAGTACTGTTCTAGTAACGAAATAAACTACACCAATACTACAGCATCAGATATTCCTGTTACATGTAGTCTCGGTAAGTGCTGATGGGCATCATTAACTTTGTGAATTAATTACAGTAGTATACAAAATACAAGAGCATAAAATGTTTTTGACATCCACTAATAATTTTTGGACAAATGACTTACTCACCTCAGCCACCCGCTCAAGCATAGGTTCTAGCCAGTGTTGGTTACATTCACAATGCGAGTCCAAAAAAGTGAGGATAGGGGCTGTAGCAGCATCTGATCCCCTCACTCGTGACCGCATCAAGCCTACAGATAAAGAAAAGAGCAATCATAATACATGTACAGCTAAACATTACACATTAGTAGGCTTATATATTATTGCATCCTTAACCACTATTTTATCAAAACACATAAATTATCTACCAATTAATATCGTAAAGTTATGTGCAATGAAATAGTACAGTACTGTACTACAATTGTACTGCTTGGGTATTCACCTGTACCCTCAACTGGAGTCAATTTCAGGGGTCAAAGCCCCCCCCCACAGCACAGCCCCAGACCAGTTTATGGCCTGATCAACCAAGTTGTTGGTGCTAGCTGCATGCAGTCCAATGTATTAAGTATGGATATAACAGAATAATAGTTTATATTTCTTTAAAGATCCATAGTACACACAGAAGTTTGAGAGACATTTAAATCTAATACATAAACACACATGGTTAACCCTTTGAGGGTTTTTGTCGTACTAGTACGTTTTACGCGTAGGGGTTTTTGACGTACTAGTACGCATAAATTCTAGCGGCCTCAAATCTAGTGGGAGAAAGCTGGTAGGCCTTCATATGAAAGAATGGGTCTATGTGGTCAGTGTGCACAGTCTAAAAAAAATCCTGCAGCACACAGTGCATAATGAGAAAAAAAAAAACTTTGACCATTTTTTTGGAATAAATCAGCGACTTTGCAGTGTATTTTCGTATGATATTTTTTGTTGTATTCTAGTTTTCTTGGTCTCATTTTATAGAATGGAAGACATATTACAGAAATTGAGATGATTTTGGCTGGTTTTACAAAGAAAGGTGCCTTGAAATTGAGCTCAAAGTAGCAGAAATGTTCGATTTTTACCAAACTTCAAAAGTAAACAAATCGTCCAAGCGTGCAATACATGTCAACTGGTGAGTCTAATATTCTTCACAAGTGCACCAATAATATTTATACCATTTTTACACTAATGCAGTAGTCTGCATAACAGTAAATCTTATATTTTTTGTGAGAATAAAAATTCAAAATGGAAAGCAAAAGAATATAAGAGGGGCCTTGAGACGTGACTAATGACTAGAGGAAATGTCATTTTAGTGCCAGGAATGTCTTTCTTGTTTATTCTGGACCCTATTCGTAAATTGGCATCTTTTGAAATTTGTGTGAAATTGGCAAAATTGCTAAATTCTGACCACTGTACTGGATAGTTGAATTTCATAAATGGGTGGTTTCTTGCACTCATTCGATAGAAAAAATGGAGTTCTAGCGAAATATTCATGTTTTTTGTCGACTAGTACAGCGAAATTGGCCGAAAATGGGGCTCAACGTGGGCAAAATCGACGATGCGTAAACATCGCCGAGACCGCTAACTTTGCGAGAGCATAATTTCGTAAGTTTTCTATCAAATTTCAAACTTTTGGTGTCTTTATGATCGCGAAAAGATTCTCTATCTTTTCATAAGAGAAAATAATTTTTTTTTTTTTAAATTTGGCCGACCCTGAGAACGAGTTTCGGAGAGGGCCTGTCGACCCTCAAAGGGTTAATAAGGCATTGTAGAATACGTACTTTTTTTACTGCATATAACTGGCATATGTTATTACTGTATTATGAGGGCTCATAGCCTCAATAAAATAAAAGAAAGGATTTCAGGACAAAATCTTAGTTTTTTTTCTTGAGGATGTTTAACTGTTTTCTCTCTCTACAATACCATTTATTTATTATCATTTTATTTATTATCACACTGGCCAATTCCCACGAAGGCAGGGTGGCCCGAAAAAGAAAAACTTTCACCATCATTCACTCCATCAATGTCTTGCCAGAAGGGTGCTTTACACTACAGTTTTTAAACCGCAACATTAACACCCCTCCTTCAGAGTGCAGGCACTGTACTTCCCATCTCCAGGACTAAAGTCCGGCCTGCCGGTTTCCCTGAACCCCTTCATAAATGTTACTTTGCTCACACTCCAACAGCACGTCAAGTATTAAAAACCATTTGTCTCCATTCACTCCTATCAAACACGCTCACGCATGCCTGCTGGAAGTCCAAGCCCCTCGCACACTAAAACCTCCTTTACCCCCTCCCTCCAACCTTTCCTAGGCCGACCCCTACCCTGCCTTCCTTCCACTACAGACTGATACACTCTTGAAGTCACTCTGTTTCGCTCCATTCTCTCTACATGTCCGAACCACCTCAACAACCCTTCCTCAGCCCTCTGGACAACAGTTTTGATAATCCCGCACCTCCTCCTAACTTCCAAACTACGAATTCTCTGCATTATATTCACACCACACATTGCCCTCAGACATGACATCTCCACTGCCTCCAGCCTTCTCCTCGCTGCAACATTCATCACCCATGCTTCACACCCATATAAGAGCGTTGGTAAAACTAGACTCTCATACATTCCCCTCTTTGCCTCCAAGGACAAAGTTCTTTGTTTCCACAGACTCCTAAGTGCACCACTCACCCTTTTTCCCCTCATCAATTCTATGATTCACCTCATCTTTCATAGACCCATCCGCTGACACATCCACTCCCAAATATCTGAATACATTCACCTCCTCCATACTCTCTCCCTCCAATCTGATATCCAATCTTTCATCACCTAATCTTTTTGTTATCCTCATAACCTTACTCTTTCCTGTATTCACTTTTAAGTTTCTTCTTTTGCACACCCTACCAAATTCATCCACCAATCTCTGCAACTTCTCTTCAGAATCTCCCAAGAGCACAGTGTCATCAGCAAAGAGCAACTGTGACAACTCCCACTTTATGTGTGATTCTTTATCTTTTAACTCCACGCCTCTTGCCAAGACCCTCGCATTTACTTCTCTTACAACCCCATCTATAAATATATTAAACAACCACGGTGACATCACACATCCTTGACGAAAGCCTACTTTTACTGGGAAATAATTTCCCTCTTTCCTACGTACTCTAACTTGAGCCTCACTATCCTCGTAAAAGCTCTTCACTGCTTTCAGTAACCTACCCCTACACCATACACCTGCAACATCTGCCACATTGCCCCCCTATCCACCCTGTCATACGCCTTTTCCAAATCCATAAATGCCACAAAGACCTCTTTAGCCTTATCTAAATACTGTTCACTTATATGTTTCACTGTAAACACCTGGTCCACACACCCCCTACCTTTCCTAAAGCCTCCTTGTTCATCTGCTATCCTATTCTCCGTCTTACTCTTAATTCTTTCAATAATAACTCTACCATACACTTTACCACATATACTCAACAGACTTTTTTTTTTTTTTTTTTTTTTTATCACACTGGCCGATTCCCACCAAGGCAGGGTGGCCCGAAAAAGAAAAACTTTCACCATCATTCACTCCATCACTGTCTTGCCAGAAGGGTGCTTTACACTAAAGTTTTTAAACTGCAACATTAACACCCCTCCTTCAGAGTGCAGGCACTGTACTTCCCATCTCCAGGACTCAAGTCCGGCCTTCCGGTTTCCCCCTATAATTTTTGCACTCTCTTTTGTCCCCTTTGCCTTTATACAAAGGAACTATGCATGCTCTCTGCCAATCCCTAGGTACCTTACCCTCTTCCATACATTTATTAAATAATTGCACCAACCACTCCAAAACTATATCCCTACCTGCTTTTAACATTTCTATCTTTATCCCATCAATCCCGGCTGCCTTACCCCCTTTCATTTTACCTACTGCCTCACGAACTTCCCCCACACTCACAACTGGCTCTTCCTCACTCCTAAAAGATGTTATTCCTCCTTGCCCTATACACGAAATCACAGCTTCCATATCTTCATCAACATTTAACAATTCCTCAAAATATTCCCTCCACAAGACTTATTCCTCTAAGAAAAAGGAGGAGTAGATGTAAAATAGAAAGAGACAGGCGCTCTCTTTACAGGATATGGAAAAGAATAACAGAGAGGCTAAAAGAGGTCAATCTATCTGAAATGCGTAGGGAGACACTGGTCAGAGAAATAGCAAACATCGAACTTAAGCTAAAGAAATCTTATAGGAGTCAGGAATCGCGGGAAGAACTAAAAGCCATAAATGAAATCGAAAGAAACCCAAAGTATTTCTTCGCCTATGCCAAATCAAAGTCGAGAACAACGTCCAGTATTGGGCCCTTACTTAAACAAGATGGGTCCTACACAGATGACAGCAAGGAAATGAGTGAGCTACTCAAGTCCCAATATGACTCAGTTTTTAGCAAGCCACTAACCAGACTGAGAGTCGAAGATCAAAATGAATTTTTTATGAGAGAGCCACAGAATTTGGTTAACACAGCCTATCTGAAAGTTATCCTGACGCCAAATGACTTCGAACAGGCGATAAATGACCCTGCCCATGCACTCTGCCCAGGGCCAGACTCATGGAACTCCGTGTTCATCAAGAACTGCAAGAAGCCCCTATCACGAGCCTTTACCATCCTATGGAGAGGGAGCATGGAACACGGGGTCGTCCCACAGTTACTAAAAACAACAGACATAGCCCCACTCCACAAAGGGGGCAGTAAAGCAACAGCAAAGAACTACAGACCGATAGCACTAACATCCCATATCATAAAAATCTTGAAAGAGTCCTAAGAAGCAAGATCCCCCACCCCCTCTAGAAACCCATCAGTCACACAACCCAGGGCAACATGGGTTAGAACAGGTCGCTCCTTCTGTCTCAACTATTGGATCACTACGACAAGGGTTCCTAGATGCACTAGAAGACAAAAAGAATGCAGATGTAATATATACAGACTTTGCAAAAAACCTTCGACAAGTGTGACCATGGCGTAATAGCGCACAAAATGCGTGCTAAAGGAATAACAGGAAAAGTCGGTCGATGGATCTACAATTTCCTCACTAACAAACACAGAGAGTAGTAGTCAACAGAGTAAAGTCCCAGGCAGGCACGGTTTAAAAAACTCTGTTCCACAAGGCCACAGTACTCGCTCCCATCTTGTTCCTCATCCTCATATCTGACATAGACAAGGATGTCAGCCACAGCACCGTGTCTTCCTTTGCAGATGACACCCGAATCTGCATGACAGTGTCTTCCATTGCAGACCCTGCAAGGCTCCAGGCGGACATCAACCAAATCTTTCATGGGCTGCAGAAAACAATATGAAGTTCAACGATGAGAAATTTCAATTACTCAGATGGTAAAAAACGAGGAAATTAAAACTTCTAAGTACAAAACAAATTTTGGGCCCCAAAATAGAGCGAAACACCAAATCAAAACCTGGGGGTGATATGTCGGAGGATCTCCCTTCAAGGACCATAAAAAATTTTTCGATCGCATCGTAGAAAAATACAGGATGGATAATGAGAACCTTCAAAACGGGGATGCCCCAAACCCTGAACACTCTTAAGGGCCTTTTTATCTAGGGTGGAAATTGCTGCACACTAAAACACCCTTTTAAGGCAGGGAAATTTCAACCCAGAAAAGTACGAGAACCTTCCGGCGGCATAAACGGAGAAAAACACCTCAAAACTGGGAGGCTTGAGGTTCCCGAACCCGTAATTTCCCGGGGAAAGCAGGCGGGAGAGTGCTGATTAAATTTTAAACCCGGGAAAAACCTAGAGGGGGCTAGTACCGAATTGCACCCGAAAATCACTCACAGAAAGCAAAAGACTTGGCAGAGATGCAAAAATCCCCCAAAGAAAAACAGGGGGGGTCACACACGTTTAAGAGACCATACAATAAGTTCAGGGCCCGAGACTGTTCAAATGCCCCCCCAGCATACATAAGGGGGATTCCAACAGACCCCTGGCATTTTCAAGCTGGCATGACAAGACCAAAGTCGGTTCCTGTCACCGGGCTGTGCCGTACTTGGGGTTTTGGGCGCCAGCGTAACACCGGTTGATAGGGTCTGACCCCCAGGAGGGCCTGGTCACAGACCGGGGCGGGGGGTGACCCCCCGGGAATCCTCCCGGTAAACTCCAGGTAATACCTCTACTCTCCTCTCTATTTTTAATGCAAATCCCTTTTTTCTCTAGGCTTCCTTAATTGTTAATCTCACTCCAAAACTTTTTCTTATTTTCAACAAAATTTGTTGATAACATCTCACCCACTCTCTCATTTGCTCTCTTTTTACATTGCTTCACCACTCTCTTAACCTCTCTCTTTTTCTCCATATACTCTTCCCTCCTTGCATCACTTCTACTTTGTAAAACCTTCTCATATGCTAACTTTTTCTCCCTTACTACTCTCTTTACATCATCATTCCACCAATCGCTCCTCTTCCCTCCCGCACCCACTTTCCTGTAACCACAAACTTCTGCTGAACACTCTAACACTACATTTTTAAACCTACCCCATACCTCTTCGATCCCATTTCCTATGCTCTCATTAGCCCATCTATCCTCCAATAGCTGTTTATATCTTACCCTAACTGCCTCCTCTTTTAGTTTATAAACCTTCACCTCTCTCTTCCCTGATGCTTCTATTCTCCTTGTATCCCATCTACCTTTTACTCTCAGTGTAGCTACAACTAGAAAGTGATCTGATATATCTGTGGCCCCTCTATAAACATGTACATCCTGAAGTCTACTTGACAGTCTTTTATCTACCAATACATAATCCAACAAACTACTGTCATTTCGCCCTACATCATATCTTGTATACTTATTTATCCTCTCTTTCTTAAAATATGTATTACCTATAACTAAACCCCTTTCTATACAAAGTTCAATCAAAGGGCTCCCATTATCATTTACACCTGGCACCCCAAACTTACCTACCACACCCTCTCTAAAAGTTTCTCCTACTTTAGCATTCAGATCCCCTACCACAATTACTCTCTCACTTGGTTCAAAGGCTCCTATACATTCACTTAACATCTCCCAAAATCTCTCTCTCTCTCTTCTACATTCCTCTCTTCTCCAGGTGCATACACGCTTATTATGACCCACTTTTCGCATCCAACCTTTACTTTAATCCACATAATTCTTGAATTTACACATTCATATTCTCTTTTTTCCTTCCATAACTGATCCTTCAACATTACTGCTACCCCTTCCTTTGCTCTAACTCTCTCAGATACTCCAGATTTAATCCCATTTATTTCCCCCCACCGAAACTCCCCTACCGCCTTCAGCTTTGTTTCACTTAGGGCCAGGACATCCAACTTCTTTTCATTCATAACATCAGCAATCATCTGTTTCTTGTCATCCGCACTACATCCATGCACATTCAAGCATCCCAGTTTTATAAAGTTTTTCTTCTTCTCTTTTTTAGTAAATGTCTACAGGAGAAGGGGTTACTAGCCCATTGCTCCTGGCATTTTAGTCGCCTCATACGACACGCATGGCTTACGGAGGAAAGATTCTTTTCCACTTCCCCATGGACAATAGAAGAAATAAAGAAGAACAAGAGCTACTTAGAAAAAGGAGAAAAACCTAGATGTATGTATATATATATATATGCATGTGCGTGTCTGTGAAGTGTGACCAAAGTGTAAGTAGGAGTAGCAAGATATCCCTGTTATCTAGCGTGTTTATGAGACAAAAAGAAACCAGCAATCCTACCATCATGCAAAACAGTTACAGGTTTCTGTTTCACAGTCATCTGGCAGGACGGTAGTACTTCCCTGGGTGGTTGCTGTCTACCAACCTACTACCCCATTTATATCTGAGTAATTATTTTTTTATTTAACATATAGAGTTGGACTGGGATTATGTAACACTGCTTCTACAGTACCACCATAGTGCCTGGGAAATCGGAGGCATTCAGATTCTATACAAGGGGTGGATAAGTTCATTTCCTTGGCAAATGGGGGCATTCAGTGAAACTAGGAAGTGGTAGCTCTGGAGGTCTTTGATTTCTTTAACAAGTTGATTGTCAAACTTCAGAAATATAAATGTGTATTTTTCCCATGAGCTGAGTGTTTCTGACCCTGTTAGTGCTTATAATATGCCAAGACTGCTGTATTTAATGATCTTGTGGTCTCCATGAAACTAGCCACACTGCTACCTTCAAACTCATTGTGGTTGGAGATAAGTATCAGCTACAGAAGATGCACACCTGTGAGACTTTAAGGGGTTTTCTATCCTTAATGTTTTTTAATTGGGAAAGCACTAAACCCACAGGAGTCATACAGTGCCTGGGAATGGGAGGCAATCAGTTTCAATTCAAGGAAGAGGAGGTTAAGTTCTCTGATGCCAATGGTCATGAGAGGTTGCTACCTGTCCTGAGTTGTTTCGGGGAATTAGTGTGGAGTGTTGTAGTGCACTATGGCTTGCTTCTGTAGTGTTTTAAGAGTCTGAGTTGTAGTAGCAGGTTCACCAGTCTTGTCCCAGCCTGGGTCTTTTTCAGATGATGACCCGGTGAGTCTGAGTTCAAGGTGTTGAAAGAGGTGGTGGTTCTATTTCTCAAAACAAAAATAAGAAACTGAAAATTCACCTGGATAAGTATAGCAATGAATGTGAGGTGGCTTGGGTTAGTGAAGGGAAACAGGTTATCAGTAGTAAAGAGCAGAGTGGCAACCATTATAAGTGGGAAGTAATTTCCAGTAAAGGAAGAAACATCAAAATGAGGTAGGATACAAGAGCAGATATGAAGGTAGGAAATTGCATCTCTCGTCTCCAGGATGAATGTACATACTGCAATGGTCAGTGAATATAAAGGTACCACTAATTCCTATGCTAAAAAGGTAGGAATATCCCTGTGGTTGGGTCACAGATAAAATATACTGATCATGCCTTCTGTAAACAGAGATAGGAATGTGAGAAAGAGGGTGTTTACCAGGAGCCAGTGTTGGTGACATAGTCAACAGGTTGGATAATATCATGTGAACAAGCCCATTATCTGCGGTGGTGCTGGTGGAAACAGTATTAGGAAGGGCAGGAGACTGGAGCTGGTAGTTAAGTACAGGACAGCTATAGATTTAATTAGGTCTAAGGGCTGGGTCCCAATCATATGTAGCATTTTGCTTAGAAGAGGAGTGGGCAATGAATGAATGTCTAGGGTAACTGGTGTAAATTGCTGGTTAGACAGGTACTACAAAGAACTTGCAATCCCATTCACTGACAAATGGGACAGTTTCTGTGGCAAACATGATATGAATGCAAGGGATGAGGTACATTTCTCTGGGGCACGAGGGGGGGTAGGGATGGTAGCATTAGCCAACTCTGTCGAGCGGGCTGCTGTTGAGTTGACTAGGACTTTAAACTGATAAAAGATATAGGTATGGGTGTGTGTGGGAAACAAATAGATTACCACATAAGGGATTCAAGTGGCAAAAACTGCCAGGATATTTTAGGGATATGTTCAAAGAGCACTACTGTTCACCATCAAGTTACTAAATGCAATGGAAATGGTCAACAAACGAAGAGAGACAATAACAGGCAGTGAGTGACTAATTCCTTTAAGGTCTACTATACTAATAGTAGGAGCATAAGAAATAAGATGGATGAGCAAAGATTAATTGCACATACAGGAAGCATAGATATTAATGCTATAGCAAAGACCTGATTCAACCTAAAAGACAGAGAAATGCCTTCTGAATGCCACATACAAGGCTATAAATTATTCAACAATGATAGGGTCACTAGGATGGGTGGCAGAGTGGCTATACCTGGAGAGGGTTCCAGGGGTCAACGTCCCCATGGCCCGGTCCGTGACCAGGCCTCATTGTGGCATCAGGGCCTGATCAACCAGGCTGTTACTATTGGCTGCACGTAAACCGACGTACGAACCACAGCCCGGCTAGTCAGGTACTGACTTTAGGTGCTTGTCCAGTGCCTGCTTGAAGACAGCCAGGGGTCTACTGGTAATTCCCTTATGTATACTAAGAGGCAGCTGAACAGTCTTGGGCTCCTGACACTTATTGTGTTGTCTCTTATCATGCTAGTGGCATCCCTGCTTTTCATTGGAGGGGTGTTACATCGTCTGCTGAGTCTTTTGCTTTCATAGGGAGTGATTTTCATGTGCAAATTTGGTACTAATCCCTCTAGGATTTTCCAAGTGTATGCATTAGACAAATAAAACTAAATGCTTATATTATTATTTTTTTTTATTAACACACTGGCCAATTCCCACCAAAGCAGGGTGGCCCGAAAAAGAAAAACTTTCACCATCATTCACTCCATCACTGTCTTGCCAGAAGGGCGCTTAACACACTAGTTTTTAAACTGCAATATTAACACCCCTCCTTATACTGCAGATAAAAGAGGTGGAGCAGGGGTAGGTGGAGTCACCAGTGGAAAAAACCCACTAGTGGAAGTAGGTTTGGCCTACCACGTCAAATTATTTCTGATGAGGGCACTAGAAAGCTACAGGATGACCTGGATAGGTTGATGCTGTGGTCTGGTAAATGGCAGATGCTGTTCAATGCAGACATATATGAGTTTATAATCGAAGGGAAAATATAACTATGACATTTATAAACTAAATAATGTAGATCTTAGTCAAACCGAATGCAAAAGGGCATTGAATTCTGATTATCAGAAATTTAAAGTCAAAACAACAGTGCATAAGTGTTTGCAATAAAGCTAATAAAACTCTTAACTTCATAGTATATAAATAATATTAGTCCTATGGTCATACTTCACCTTCATACATCTTGGGTATAGCAGCCTCACTTGGATTATGTTGTTAAGTCTAGTCTTCATATACAAAATGGACATAAATGTGCTGGAAAATATAGAGAGAAGGATAAATATGATGATTTCCTGTATCAGAAACCTTTCTTACAGACAGGCTGAAGAAATTAAGTTTGCATTCTCTGGAAAAAGATATGATTTTGGAAGAAATGATTAAGTGAATAAATGGAAAATAAGAATAAAGGGGATATAAAATAGTAATGATAAGCACAATTAACTGCAATGAATGATGTTATTACTTCAGGTAGTTAATAGCGAAATATAACAAATTTTTTTAAGCCAGAAGCCTAAAGAGAACTAAGGGGGAAACCCTTACCTTCCCTCGGGTCGTTCGTTACCCCCACTTTCTGTATCTTGCAAGCCAAGCCCCATCCTGGGCTGTAAAAAAGAACAACATAAAAAGTACTGCACATTTTGAGTTAAATGTAAATTAGGGTCATTGAAGAATTTTTTTGGGGGGGGAAAGTTTTTCAGGTTTTTGGAAATGAGGGGGTATGGGTGGCTAAGATCGAAGTCCCAAATAAGGACACAAACTGTATGGAAAAAGGCGATAACAAGAGACTACAGAAGAATAGGGGAAACTGCTTGGTATAAAGTGAAGCTAAGTGAAATTTGAAAAAAATAAACAGAAAACTGATTCAAAAATGCTTTTTCATACTGTAAAAATATTTTAGTCTTAGCTCAATTTACCTGAAAAGCGTGCTACCGGGAGTTTACCTGGAGGGGGGTTTTTCGGGGGCAACGCCCCCCGGCCCGGCTGTGACCAGGCCTCCGGGGGATCACGCCTGATCAACCAGGCTTTTGCTGCTGGCTGCACGCAAACCAACGTAAAACCCCACGCCCGGGGCTGATCAAACTGACTTTGGGGTGCTTGTCCAGGCCAGTTTGAAGACGCCGGGGGTCTGTTGGTAACCCCCTTATGTGTGTGGGGGGCATTGAACAGTCCGGGCCCCCTGCCCTTATTGTATGGTCTCAAAAGTGCTAGTGACACCCTGCTTTTCAGGGGGGAAGGGTGCATCGTCTGCCAAGTCTTTTGCTTTCGAGTGAGTGATTTTCTGTGCAAGTTCAGTACTATCCCTCTAGGATTTTCCAGGTGATATAATCATGTATCTCCCCTCCCGCGTTCCAGGGGGAAAACAGGTTTTGAAACCTCAAGCGTCCCAGTAATTGAGGTGTTTTATCTCCGTTTTGCGCCCGGAAAAATTCTCTGAATTTTTAGGGCGGCAATTTCACCGCCTTTAAAGGGGCGTTAAGGCAGCAAATTCCCCGCCTAGTAGAACAAGTGACCTAAAAAGGTCATCATGGGGGTTGGCCTCCCTATTTTTAAGGTTTTCATTTTCCACCTGTCATTTTCCTAGCAGATGCGATTATAAATGTTTTGGTCCTTGAAAGGGAGATCCTCCGACTAAAACACCCCAGGTCTTTGACGTTGGTGTTTCGCTCTATTTTGTGGGCCCGAATTTGTTTTTGTACTCTGATGAAGATTTAAATTTTCCTCATGTTTACCATATCTGAGAAATTGAAATTTCTCACGTTGAACTTCATATGTTTTCTGCAGCCCACTGAAAGATTTGGTTGATGTCCGCCTGGAGCCTTGCAGTGTCTGCAATGGAAGACACTGTCATGCAATTTCGGGTGTCATCTGCAAAGGAAACACGGTGCTGTGGCTGACATCCTTGTCTATGTCGGATATGAGGATGAGGACAAGAGGGGAGTTTAGTACTGTGCCTTGTGGAACAGAGCTTTTCACCGTAGCTGCCTCGGACTTTACTCTGTTGACGACTACTCTCTGTGTTCTGTTAGTGAGGAAATTATAGATCCATCGACCGACTTTTCCTGTTATTCCTTTGGCGCCATTTTGTGCGCTATTACGCCATGGTCACACTTGTCGAAGGCTTTTGCAAAGTCTGTATATTTTACATCTGCATTCTTTTTGTCTTCTAGTGCTTTTAGACCTTGTCGTAGTGATCCAGTAGTTGAGACAGACAGGAGCGACCTGTTCTAAACCCATGTTGCCCTGGGTTGTGTAACTGATGGGTTCTAGATGGGGGGTGATCTTGCTCTTAGGACCCTTTCAAAGATTTTTATGATATGGGATGTTAGTGCTTTTGGGTCTGTAGTTCTTTGCTGTTGCTTTACTGCCCCCTTTGTGGAGTGGGGCTATGTCTGTTGTTTTAGTAACTGAGGGACGCCCCCCGTGTCCATGCTCCCTCTCCCATAGGATGGAAAGGCTCGTGATAGGGGCTTCTTGCAGTTCTTGATGAACACAGAGTTCCATGAGTCTGGCCCTGGGGCAGAGTGCATGGGCATGTCTTTTAAATCGCCTGTTCGAAGTCATTTGGCGTCAGGATAACATCGGATAGGCTTGTGTTAATCAAATTTTGTGGCTCTCTCATAAAAAATTCATTTTGATCTTCGACTCTCATCTGGTTAGCGGCTTGCTAAAACTGAGTCATTTTGGGGACTTGAGCAGCTCACTATTTCCTTGCTGTCATCTGTGTAGGACCCATCTTGTTTAATTAGGGGCCCCAAATACTGGGCGTTGTTCTCGATTTTGATTTGGCATAGGAGAAGAAATACTTTGGGTTTCTTTCGATTTCATTTATAGCTTTTAGTTCTTCCCACGATTCCTGACTCCTAAAGGATTCTTTTAGCTTAAGTTCGATGCTTGCATTTCTCTGACCAGTGTCCTCCCTGCGCATTTCAGATATATTGACCTCTTTTAGCCGCTCTGTATTCTTTTCCTTCGCCTGTAAAGGGAGCGCCTGTCTCTTTTTTATTTTACATCTACTCCTCCTTTTTCTTAGAGGAATAAGCCTTTTGGGATACATCGAGTGCCACCGAGTTAATCTGTTCTAGCATAAGTTTGGGTCTGTGTTGCTTATATATCTTCCCAGCTTATATCGGTTAGGACTTGGTTTACTTGGTCCCACTTTTTTGTTTTTTGTTATTGAAGTTGAATTTGGTGAATGCTCCCTCGTGACTAGTCTCAAATTTTGTCGGTCTGGGGCTCCTCGCATACATGTTGAACTCAATTATGTTTTTGATCTGAGTATATTGTTTTGATATGGTGACATTTCTTATCAGATCATCATTGTTAGTGAATATGAGGTCTAGTGTATTCTCCAGTCTAGTAGGCTCTATTATTTGCTGGTTTAAATTGAATTTTGTGCAGAGATTTAAAAGCTCGTGTGAGTGTGAGTTTTCATCAGAGCTGCCTCCTGGTGTTATTACTGCAACAATATTATTTGCTATATTCCTCCATTTTAGGTGCCTTAAGTTGAAATCCCCCAGGAGCAAGATGTTGGGTGCAGGAGCTGGAAGATTTTCCAGACAGTGGTCAATTTTTAACAGCTGTTCCTGGGCTTTTCACATAAACTGTATCACATTTTTTTAAATAAAGTATTATCATTGTTTTATTATTGGGAATGGTAAATGACTGCTACTCGGCAGATTTTGGACATTAATTACAGTTTGAATTATATAATGTTATGTTTGTTTTACAGTTGATATTTTGTTGTGCAAATGGTAAAAAAAAAAAAAAGTAATCTAACCTAAATTGCTGGCTAGACAGATACTGCAAGGAACTTGCAATCCCATTCATTGACAACTGGGACAACTTTTATGGCAAACATGATATGTATGCAAGGGATAGGGTACATCTTTCTGGGGCAGGGGTGGTAGCTCTTGCAAACTCAATCGAGAGGGGCATTGCTGAAATGCCTAGAATTTTAAACTGATAGAAGATAGAGGTATGGGCATGTGTGGGAAACAGTCAGGTTGCAACACTAGGGTTGAAAACAGTAAATGTATATAAGACATTCATCATGAAGTTATAAATAAAGACAATAGATCAGGTCAGCAAACAAAGGGAGACAGCAGAGGGCAGCAAGTTACTAGCTCCCTTAAGGTCTGTTATACTAATAGCAGGAGTGTAAGAAATAAGATAGATGAGGTAAGATTAATTGCAAGTGCAGGAAACATAGATACCATTGCTATAACAGAGACCTGGCTCAATCTGAAAGATAGAGAGATGCCTTCTGAATGTCACATACAAGGCTATAAATTATTCCACACTGACAGGGTCAACAGGAAGGGTGGTGGAGTAGCGATGTACATCAGAGACAATTTAAATTGTTGTGTTAGACAAGATATAAAATTAGAAGCTTCAGCCACTGAATCTGTTTGGTTACAGCTTCTCGAGGGCCATGAAAAACTAATTGGGTGTGATTTACAGGGCCCCAAATCTTGATAGAGAGTGCAGTAAACTTCTATGGGATGAAATTCTTAAGGCCTCTACATACAAAAATGTTGTGATAATGGGAGATTTCAACTATAGACAGATTGACTGGAGAAATTTGACAGGAAATTTAGAGTCAAGTGACTTTGATATGATTCAGGATTGTTTTTTAAAACAGTTTGTGACAGAGCCAACTAGAGGGAATAACCTGCTTGACTTGGTTCTTGCCAGCAGGGAAACGCTAATTAATAATCTTGGGGAAAGTGGTCACAAATCACTCAATTTTAATATATCATGGAATTCCCCTAATAATACCAATCAAGTCTCTGTCCCTGACTTCCGCTTGGCTGATTTCATAGGACTGAAAAATCACTTGGGTGGGCTGAACTGGAATGACCTGACTATGGGTCAGGTAGGTGGCGATGATTGCCGATATGACGTTTTCCAGGGCATAGTTCTAGCTGCTCAGACAACTTACGTTCCAAATAGGGAAATCAGATCAAGCAAAAATGATCCTAAATGGATGAACAATAGATTAAAACATCTCATTGGTCAAAAGAGAGGCATATATAGGCAAATCAAAAGAGGAGAGGTGCAATTAAGAAATCATTATATTCCTGGAGAGAGTTCCGGGGGTCAACGCCCCCGCGGCCCGGTCTGAGACCAGGCCTCCTGGTGGATCAGAGCCTGATCAACCAGGCTGTTGCTGCTGGCTGCACGAAAAACCAACATACGAGCCACAGCCCGGCTGATCCGGAACTGACTTTAGGTGCTTGTCCAGTGCCAGCTTGAAGACTGCCAGGGGTCTGTTGGTAATCCCCCTTATGTGTGCTGGGAGGCAGTTGAACAGTCTCGGGCCCCTGACACTTATTGTATGGTCTCTTAACGTGCTAGTGACACCCCTGCTTTTCATTGGGGGATGGTGCATCGTCTGCCAAGTCTTTTGCTTTCGTAGTGGGTGATTTTCGTGTGCAAGTTCGGTACTAGTCCCTCTGGATTTCCAGGTGTATAAAAATCATGTATCTCTCCCTCCTGCGTTCCAGGGAATACAGGGTTTAGGAACCTCAAGCGCTCCCAATAATTGAGGTGTTTTATCTCCGTTATGCGCGCCGTGAAAGTTCTCTGACATTTTCTAGGT